CCCCTTGCGCGCCCCCCCTAACTTTAATTTTTGGCTTCGTCTCTGAGATGGCTGGATCTCGGGTTGAAGGTGCTGGATTTCAAGAAAAAATTAGTGAAAATGCTGAAAATTAAAAAAAAATTAACCACATGATTTTCGAAATCTAACCCGCCAAAAAATAATCCTTACCTTTGTGCTTGGTGGGCAGATGATGAAGGAGCACTCTGGCATAGCAGAGGATGAAAAATGGGACAAAAATGAGAAGGATGAAATAGCAATAGTCGTGGACAGGGACAAAGAAGAAAGGTCTGCGAGATTCTCTACGCAGACCCTTATCCAGACTGGCAATGGTCTGGAGTTGGTCTAAAAAATAAGCTAGCCCCAACGTCATCTCAGTCAGATGCAAGTTGGGAATAATTTTTCAAACCATTACTAGTCCAGATATGACCAATTATTCGAACCAGAACTGGTATGGAAAATGTTGAGAGAAGGCCCAACGTGCATCTTGGCCAGATGCACATTGGTAACCATTTTCTAGATTGATTCTGGTCCAAAAATATCTTAAAAAATCTACATAACAATATTATTTAAGGAAAAATTTTCCAGCCCAACTTTTACAAACCAACTTTGGTCTAGAAATTTTGTAATTTTTGTTCAGACCATTTTTAATCTATGCTAAATTAATTAAAAAATGTTTTATTTTTTTTTTTTAATGAAAGTATTCAGATCATAACCAGTCTAGAAAATTTTGGTGCGTTTGTACTGTTTTTGGCATCAATAATTTCCTGACTGTAAATGGTTCAAAAAAAGTTTCCCACAAAACCTTACTACTTTTTGCCGATAAAAAATTATACAGATTAATTACGATCCAAAATATTATTTTTTCATACCAATGTAAATCAATCTGAAACATGTCAGTTTGAGTATGCATTATTTCTAGTAGTGTAAATTAAATATGCCATACCCCTTATATCTTTGATCCTAGCTAAATTAAATATTTCATTATGAGTCACTTGAATCTTTTATTAATGTAAGTAGCTAGATTGGAGTATTTCTTGTATTTCATATAATAAATTTTGATTTATTTGAAAAATAAAATTCCATACCCTAATAATAATATTCTATGTACTTTTGCTTGCTATCTAGATAGGCTACTACTTAACCCACTTAACCCTAGTAGACTAACTTAACAAAGTTGTTGATTCTATCTTTTTCTCATGGTCTCACTCCCGAGAGAAGAACATGGCTAAAAGTTTGTGATAGGATATATAGGAATTTTTATCTTCAATTGTAATCTCAATGATGTCTATACTTAAATTGAGTTCACTTGTACCGCTTTTGTATTATACTCTACATAAAAAAGCATTACATTACACATTTTTTTCCCTCAAAAAATCACATCTAACATGTACCTACTTGACCTTAGGGTAATCTATATATGATTCTCTCCGCAAGAGAAAAGAATGCTTCTACAAAAAAGAAAAATATGGAATATAAAAGGACTAAAACAATAAAGAAAAGGAATAAGATAAAGATATTGCCTCACCTTTTCCCTTGAGGATATGATTTTTTGCAGCTTGTAATTAAACAGGAAGTTTTAAGGTACTGGTTCTAATCAACATTCGTGAATAGCGTTGTATTTTATCATGAGATGTTATATTTTTAACTTATAGGTTTTACAATTTTTTTTTTTAAAGATTTTCATAAGAGAAGGAGTTGATCTCGGTTTAAAAGTTACATTAATTATTTTTAATTTACCTTTAATATATGATTTTAGTCTCACTCTACCATTACATCATTAGCCTCCCCCCTTTGGCATAATGATTTTGTCAAAGTGTGCTGATATTTTCCCAGAGCCAGCAATAATGCTAACATCAAAGATTGTACTATGTTCATCGTGAGGTATTGTTTACTTTAAACGCAATCTTTGGTGTCATTAAGTATCTCTTCTATTTTGGTTCCGCACATGACTCAAATGCTACAATTTTAAAATGATAAGGTCTCAAGCCTTATATCACTATCCAGCCTGGCTAAGCCCATGGTTAGAATGCTTCGAGCTTGTAATCGCTACCTTTCCTTCCTGGGATCATCCGATTGAGGTTGTCCGTATGCTTTTCAGATTCTCTGATATTCTTCTTACATTGTTTCTAGGAATGAACGTCCTAAAGTAAAAGATTACGAAATCAGTTTTAAATGGAAAAGAAATTCCCATGAATCATGCCTGACAACCACGGCATTGTTGGCAAAATTTCAGAAACCACGGTCACACCGTCGCATGATCTACTTAAAACGAACGGTGCGAATTAATTAAGTAAAACCATCAACCGTTTTCTTTTTTTTTTTTTTTTTCCCCACTACTTTCGGTATAATAGTAATTAAATAATAATACTAATTAATTCGAGCGAAATTAAAAATTAATGATTTATCAAAAAAAAAAAGAAATTAAAAATTAATGAGAAATTATTTATTTTAAACTATAATTTTTTAAATAATTTTTTATTAATTAAATATAATGTATTTAAATAGTTTATTAATTATACAAATTTAGTATTATTAAATATATATTAAAAAATATTGTTTCTTAATTAGATAGTTATGCATGTTAGATTACCTATCATGAGCAAGGTTTTTAAAACCGGACCGGACCGACCGGTTGAACCGGTCGGACCGGTATTCGGTCATGAAAACGGTTCGGTTCACATAAGAAAACTGTTTGAGGTCAAAACCGGTCAAAACCGGTCAAAACTGATAAAATCGGTAAAAACCGGTTAAAAACCGATAAACCAATAAAAACCGATAGAACCGGTAGAACCAGAAAAACCACCGGTTCAATTTCTCATGCAATCTTCTTTCAATTTTTTCCAATTTCACCCTTCCCATTCCTTTCTTATACCCATTTT